CCACGAGGCGAGCCAATTCTTTGTAATTCACATATACTTATATTAAACTAATTATTCACTACGCAAAACCACGACTGGGTTATTCACACACTACGATAGATAAATCTGTAAGCATGTACATACATAAGTACATACATAAGTACATGCTTCTATTGCCTAAACATTACAGACAGTGGACAGTGGACGATGATGCAGTAGAGCAGGTGGAAGTTTGAGTTGGAGAAATTTGATTGGGGGATTTCAATGTTTCAAACGGGAAACAACGCGTATTTTAGCGAAGAATATGCAGAAGTTCCAAAAATATTCGAAAAGTTGTTTCTTAACCCCGCAAAATGAGAAAAACCCTATAAAAAAAGTTACGATTTTCAAACGTCTATAACTCCTACAGTAGCGAATATATTTGAATGAAACTTTTTTCTGAAGTAGAGCTCGTGGGTACCTACAAAAAAGTATTAGACAACTTTTCTGTAGGGCGTTGAACAATATTACTAAAAATGAAAAACGAATTTTTAAGAATAATCGACCAAATTTTTGACGAAAGATTTCAAATCGTTCTCGAAAAATTATTTTCGGTTGCAGGGGTCGATTACAATCATTTTTCGTCATTACACATACCCCCGAAATCCAACGCATTTTCGAGAAAAAAATTCCTTACCGAAAATCTAATCTGAGGCCCAGAAATGCTACCCTGAAATTTCATGTGTATTTTTAAAATGTCGTAACTTTTGAAAGGATTGGGGGATTTCAATGTTTCAAACGGCAAACAACGCGTATTTTAGCGAAGAATATATAGAAGTTCCAAAAATATTCGAAAAGTTGTTTCTTAACCCCGCAAAATGAGAAAAACCCCATAAAAAAAGTTACGATTTTCAAACGTCCATAACTCCTACAGTAGCGAATATATTTGAATGAAACTTTTTTTTGAAGTAGAGCTCGTGGGTACCTACAAAAAAGTATTAGACAACTTTTCTGTAGGGCGTTGAACAATATTATTAAAAACGAAAAACGAATTTTTAAGAATAATCGACAAAATTTTTGACGAAAGATTTCAAATCGTTCTCGAAAAATTATTTTCGGTTGCAGGGGTCGATTACAATCATTTTTCGTCATTACACATACCCCCGAAATCCAACGCATTTTCGAGAAAAAAATTCCTTACCGAAAATCTAATCTGAGGCCCAGAAATGCTATCCTGAAATTTCATGCGCATTTTTAAAATGTCGTAACTTTTGAACGGATTGGGGGATTTCAATGTTTCAAACGGGAAACAACGCGTATTTTAGCGAAGAATATATAGAAGTTCCAAAAATATTCGAAAAGTTGTTTCTTAACCCCGCAAAATGAGAAAAACCCCATAAAAAAAGTTACGATTTTCAAACGTCCATAACTCCTACAGTAGCGAATATATTTGAATGAAACTTTTTTTTGAAGTAGAGCTCGTGGGTACCTACAAAAAAGTATTAGACAACTTTTCTGTAGGGCGTTGAACAATATTATTAAAAACGAAAAACGAATTTTTAAGAATAATCGACCAAATTTTTGACGAAAGATTTCAAATCGTTCTCGAAAAATTATTTTCGGTTGCAGGGGTCGATTACAATCATTTTTCGTCATTACACATACCCCCGAAATCCTACGCATTTTCGAGAAAAAAAATTCCTTACCGAAAATCGAATCTGAGGCCCCAGAAATGCTGCCCCGAAATTTCATGCGCATTTTTAAAATGTCGTAACTTTTGAACGGATTGGGGGATTTCAATGTTTCAAACGGCAAACAACGCGTATTTTAGCGAAGAATATGCAGAAGTTCCAAAAATATTCGAAAAGTTGTTTCTTAACCCCGCAAAATGAGAAAAACCCCATAAAAAAAGTTACGATTTTCAAACGTCCATAACTCCTACAGTAGCGAATATATTTGAATGAAACTTTTTTTTGAAGTAGAGCTCGTGGGTACCTACGAAAAAGTATTAGACAACTCTTCTGTAGGACGTTAAACAATATTATTAAAAACGAAAAACGAATTTTTAAGAATAATCGACCAAATTTTTGACGAAAGATTTCAAATCGTTCTCGAAAAATTATTTTCGGTTGCAGGGGTCGATTACAATCATTTTTCGTCATTACACATACCCCCGAAATCCTACGCATTTTCGAGAAAAAAAATTCCTTACCGAAAATCGAATCTGAGGCCCCAGAAATGCTGCCCCGAAATTTCATGCGCATTTTTAAAATGTCGTAACTTTTGAACGGATTGGGGGATTTCAATGTTTCAAACGGCAAACAACGCGTATTTTAGCGAAGAATATATAGAAGTTCCAAAAATATTCGAAAAGTTGTTTCTTAACCCCGCAAAATGAGAAAAACCCCATAAAAAAAGTTACGATTTTCAAACGTCCATAACTCCTACAGTAGCGAATATATTTGAATGAAACTTTTTTCTGAAGTAGAGCTCGTGGGTACCTACGAAAAAGTATTAGACAACTTTTCTGTAGGACGTTAAACAATATTATTAAAAACGAAAAACGAATTTTTAAGAATAATCGACCAAATTTTTGACGAAAGATTTCAAATCGTTCTCGAAAAATTATTTTCGGTTGCAGGGGTCGATTACAATCATTTTTCGTCATTACACATACCCCCGAAATCCTACGCATTTTCGAGAAAAAAAATTCCTTACCGAAAATCGAATCTGAGGCCCCAGAAATGCTGCCCCGAAATTTCATGCGCATTTTTAAAATGTCGTAACTTTTGAACGGATTGGGGGATTTCAATGTTTCAAACGGCAAACAACGCGTATTTTAGCGAAGAATATATAGAAGTTCCAAAAATATTCGAAAAGTTGTTTCTTAACCCCGCAAAATGAGAAAAACCCCATAAAAAAAGTTACGATTTTCAAACGTCCATAACTCCTACAGTAGCGAATATATTTGAATGAAACTTTTTTCTGAAGTAGAGCTCGTGGGTACCTACAAAAAAGTATTAGACAACTTTTCTGTAGGACGTTGAACAATATTATTAAAAACGAAAAACGAATTTTTAAGAATAATCGACAAAATTTTTGACGAAAGATTTCAAATCGTTCTCGAAAAATTATTTTCGGTTGCAGGGGTCGATTACAATCATTTTTCGTCATTACACATACCCCCGAAATCCTACGCATTTTCGAGAAAAAAAATTCCTTACCGAAAATCTAATCTGAGGCCCAGAAATGCTACCCTGAAATTTCATGTGTATTTTTAAAATGTCGTAACTTTTGAACGGATTGGGGGATTTCAATGTTTCAAACGGCAAACAACGCGTATTTTGGTGGAGAATATTTAGGAATTCTAACAATATTGAAAAAGTTGCTTCTTGACCCTGTAAAGTGAAAAAAACCCCATAAAATTGGAACAAATTTTCAAATGGCCATAACTTTTACAATAGTAAACATATTTCAATGAAACTTTTTTCCGAAGTAGAGCTCATTGTTACCTACAAAAAAGTATTAGACAACTTTTCTATAGGGTGTTAAACAATATTATTAAAAATGAAAAATTGAAATTTTAAGAAAAATCGCCAGGGTGCCTTTTCTCGACGAAAGTAAAAAATTTCAAATAATTTTGAAAAAATTATTTTCAGTTGCGGGGGTCAATTAGAATCATTTTTTGTCATTAGACATACCCCCGAAATCCTACGCATTTTCGAGAAAAAAAATTCAGGAATGTGGACAAATTTTTCGTCGAAATGGAAAAATTTCAAATAATTCTGAAAAAATTATTTTCAGTTGCAGGAGTCAATTACAATCATTTTTGGTGAATAGACGTATCCCAAAAATCCCGTGTATTTTCGAGAAAAAAATTAAATGCAGACGGAGCTTTAAACATTAATAACTTTTTAACGAAGCCTCTATTAACAAATTAGTATTCTTGATTTTCGTCCTATTTTGGCCTCTAGAATCTCTCATTAAAATTTTTCTTGTTAAAAACAAAAGTATTGACACGCTTGGCTCTTCATTATAAAAACACACATAAATAAAAAAAAAAATACAGTATTAGTATAATTCCTTATATTAACTATATCTATTAGATTTACAACTCGAGAATGTTACAAGTATATTTACACCAATCTATTAGAAAACAAAAAAGAATAATAAAATGCACATTAAGGGCAGTTTTCAATGAAACAAAATGAAATAAAATGCTTTTATCTCGCATCTAGAATGAAATTTTTCGAAGGTTGGTACACCGTTTCCGATTTCCATAGCATTTACTTATTTATAATGGACAAATATGTCTATTTACATATCTTTAAAAAAATCATTTTAATAAAAGCGTGGAAAAAGTAAATCTTGGATCTTGGAAATCTTGCAATTTGTCTTTCAACAAGACAATGACCCCAAACACAAACATACTGTTTATTTGGTGCTGCAATGGACAGTTTTTAACACTACGCATTCTTGTAATATTAATATCGCTATTAATTGATCTCTCGTCACAGAGACGCGGATAACCATTTTGTAAATCTATCAAATTACCCAGTAAAACTCGATTGCCTCAATAAGGTCGTCTAAAAAGTCGCGTATAGGATTTAGAGCAAACGTGACTCTAAACGCAAGGGGACAATCGTTTTACTGTAATCGTCAATAATGCAGTAGATTTAACACTTTGACGAGCCCTCCGTGGCTGCGCGTGTTAGACGCTTGTCTTCGATTCTTGAGGTCTCGAGTTCGAATCCCCGAGAAATAAACTTTGACTGCCACGCCACCTATATTTTAGGTGAACAGAACTTTCAACAGTGGAATTAAAACAAAATGAATTCTCAAATTGAAATGTTAAAGAAAAATCAATTTTAAATAGGCTTCGTAAATTTCAATGAGGTTAGAAAAGTTTAACTATTACGACAAAATTTTAAGTTGTGTAGTTTTAGAATTGATTAAAATCAAAGTTTTCTGGTCTTGCAAACCAATTGTAGGATTTTCAGACAGTCAACGTGTGTTAAACGATTCCTTGGTTCTTGTTGCAGGTTGTCCAGAACGGCTTAGAAATCCTTACGTTCCTCGCGGATCGAATGGGCCATGATTTCAAGCATTATATTTCCACCATTATCCAACCAACAATAGATCGACTCGGTAGGTGTTTTTCGAACTTTCTTCTATTAATTCTCTAGTATCCATAAATTATTCTTATTAACCCTTTGCACTCCTATGTCGAGCCCCATTCGACACTTATCCAAATCCAAACCAAAGAGTTATCTTGAAAATTACAAAATGCAACAGTGTAAATGAAACAGATATTTTAACAGGTAAATTTCAAATAAAACACTTAACGCTTTACCGGACCGATAAAACAGTTGATTAATCGACTATCGGTCGGTAAGCGTTGGGCCGGTAAAACAGTTGATTAATAGGCTATCGGTCGGTAAGCGTTGGGCCGGTAAAACAGTTGATTAATAGGCTATCGGTCGGTAAAGTGTTAAAAGCATTGTGGAGCCGCTGGTAACAAAATTGGAATATAATTTGGAGTGCAAAGGGTTAAAGGAAACTAGCTCTTAACCTTTTTCATTGAACTATATATGAATTTATATCGATTCGCGTGAATATATATATACTCCTCGAGATCTTGATAAAATAAGTATTGGCACAGAGAGTATTTTCAAATAAAATGTTACGTAGCTGCGAATAAAGCGCAATCTCTTCCATATTTTTGGTATCTATAGTGTAAAGAGAGAGCCGATTTTTATGTTCGCGCAAAACTCAAGACCTATTGAACCGATCTTCCTCAAATTTTGACACGCTATTCCTGCATACTCTAGGACGGGCATCGACTATGTAGCATGCCTCAGAAGCGCGTTATTAACATGTAATTTATGTGCAAAGATTTCATGCGTACGACTGTTTGGCGGACCACGTGACCCCCGTATACGACAGTCTACTTGCGCGCGCATGCGCGTATTCGGCCCGCGCGATACCTCAGTACTGCGATGCTGCCGCCAGGTGGCGCAGCGTCTCGAGCGCTTTCTCGCGAGAGAATTGCATCATCGCGGACATATATGTCAGGACAATCGTATGGATACCAAAAATAAGGAAGATATTTTGCTTTTGTTCGGCACTGTAAATATACACAAAACCGGTCTTTCGTTTGTTTCATGCTCGTATCTCAGTGCAACAATTTTTTTTTTTTTTTTTATTTGCACGTTTCAGATGAGGTGTTAATTGGGTAAATTTTTACTCTCTTCTACAGGTGATAGTAAAGATGCGACTCGAGAGAAGGCGCAAATGGTGCTCCTTAAAATCATGGAGAAGGGATGTATGACGCCTCAGCAGCTCCTAGACAGATTACGACCGGCTTTCAATCACAAGAACGCCAAGTTACGAGAAGAAGCTCTGATCCTTTTAACCACGACGCTGAACGAGTAAGAAAATCTTTCGTAGAGTCAGAGTGATCCAAGCGATAGAGTTCCTCTAAAAATGGAAAAATCCTTTTTCAGGCATGGCGCGGACGAAATGATGCTCTCAGGGGTAATTCCGAGTATCGTGAAACTGTTGTCGGACCCATCCGAAAAAGTACGAGAAACCTCTCTGAACACGCTCGCCGACATTTACAGACACGTTGGCGAACGATTGCGCGTGGATTTGCAGAGAAAGCACAATGTACCCCAACCAAAGTAAGTAAATCGAAACAATAGTCGCGTTTGTGATTTGCAAAGTGATTAGAGGATTCACTTAGAGACACTAGAGGACTTTAGTGCCCGAATCTGGAAGAAATCAGTCAGATTCACAGTCTCCTTCATGTGTTCCAGATTGATGTTGTTGATAGAGAAATTCGACCAGCTGAAGGCCGCCGGTGACCTGCTGCCGTTGGCAATGTCCTCCGATGGTGAGTAAATCCATCGAATGAATCTCTTTGTCGACGGGTAACCGCTAAATTGAGCTAGAAAATACATAAAAAGCGTGTCACCATCGATTGCAATATTATTCTGTTCGCGTTCCTGTATCATGCTCCAACAGCTGTTGGGCGCTATCACGTAACTGTAAATGTAGATAGATTTGCATTCGTGGAGACGCTTTTTGTATTTGTACGCGGGGAAATTCTCATGGAGGACCTGTGAGCCCAAGTATGGGAGGGCCTGCAGGTAGTGTGGGACTCTTAGAGGCTAAAACCCCACGTTGACCAACCTGAGGCACCTGGCGAGGGACCAGGAACTCTAGTGAGTCGTCACAGAGTCCCCCGCCAGGTCTTTTCAGGCCCCCCACCTGAGAGACACTCCTCCCATTGCATTCCCACTCAACGGTAGGCGCCTGGACACCACGTGACCACGTTGGTTGCAGCCAACTGGCCAACCTGTGGCCTCTGGTAACCCCCGTGGCAAATACCCCATGTCCCAAGTTCACTCATCTCTTTGTCGACGGGTAACCGCTAAATTAAGCTAGAAAATACATAAAAAGCGTGTCACCATCGATTGCAATATTATTCTGTTCGCGTTCCTGTATCATGCTCCAACAGCTGTTGGGCGCTATCACGTAACTGTAAATGTAGATAGATTTGCATTCGTGGAGACGCTTTTTGTATTTGTACGCGGGGAAATCCTCATGGAGGACCTGTGAGCCCAAGTATGGGAGGGCCTGCAGGTAGTGTGGGACTCTTAGAGGCTAAAACCCCACGTTGACCAACCTGAGGCACCTGGCGAGGGACCAGGAACTCTAGTGAGTCGTCACAGAGTCCCCCGCCAGGTCTTTTCAGGCCCCCCACCTGAGAGACACTCCTCCCATTGCATTCCCACTCAACGGTAGGCGCCTGGACACCACGTGACCACGTTGGTTGCAGCCAACTGGCCAACCTGTGGCCTCTGGTAACCCCCGTGGCAAATACCCCATGTCCCAAGTTCACTCATCTCTTTGTCGACGGGTAACCGCTAAATTAAGCTAGAAAAGACATAAAAAGCGTGTCACCATCGATTGCAATATTATTCTGTTCGCGTTCCTGTATCATGCTCCAACAGCTGTTGGGCGCTATCACGTAAACGTAAATGTAGATACCTTTGCATTCGTGGAGACACTTTTTGTATTTGTACGCGGGGAAATCCTCATGGAGGACCTGTGAGCCCAAGTATGGGAGGGCCTGCAGGTAGTGTGGGACTCTTAGAGGCTAAAACCCCACGGTGACCAACCTGAGGCACCTGGCGAGGGACCAGGAACTCTAGTGAGTCGTCACAGAGTCCCCCGCCAGGTCTTTTCAGGCCCCCCACCTGAGAGACACTCCTCCCATTGCATTCCCACTCAACGGTAGGCGCCTGGACACCACGTGACCACGTTGGTTGCAGCCAACTGGCCAACCTGTGGCCTCTGGTAACCCCCGTGGCAAATACCCCATGTCCCAAGTTCACTCATCTCTTTGTCGACGGGTAACCGCTAAATTAAGCTAGAAAAGACATAAAAAGCGTGTCACCATCGATTGCAATATTATTCTGTTCGCGTTCCTGTATCATGCTCCAACAGCTGTTGGGCGCTATCACGTAAACGTAAATGTAGATACCTTTGCATTCGTGGAGACACTTTTTGTATTTGTACGCGGGGAAATCCTCATGGAGGACCTGTGAGCCCAAGTATGGGAGGGCCTGCAGGTAGTGTGGGACTCTTAGAGGCTAAAACCCCACGGTGACCAACCTGAGGCACCTGGCGAGGGACCAGGAACTCTAGTGAGTCGTCACAGAGTCCCCCGCCAGGTCTTTTCAGGCCCCCCCACCTGAGAGACACTCCTCCCATTGCATTCCCACTCAACGGTAGGCGCCTGGACACCACGTGACCACGTTGGTTGCAGCCAACTGGCCAACCTGTGGCCTCTGGTAACCCCCGTGGCAAATACCCCATGTCCCAAGTTCACTCATCTCTTTGTCGACGGGTAACCGCTAAATTAAGCTAGGAAAGACATAAAAAGCGTGTCACCATCGATTGCAATATTATTCTGTTCGCGTTCCTGTATCATGCTCCAACAGCTGTTGGGCGCTATCACGTAACTGTAAATGTAGATAGATTTGCATTCGTGGAGACGCTTTTTGTATTTGTACGTGGGGAAATTCTCATGGAGGACCTGTGAGCCCAAGTATGGGAGGGCCTGCAGGTAGTGTGGGACTCTTAGAGGCTAAAACCCCACGTTGACCAACCTGAGGCACCTGGCGAGGGACCAGGAACTCTAGTGAGTCGTCACAGAGTCCCCCGCCAGGTCTTTTCAGGCCCCCCACCTGAGAGACACTCCTCCCATTGCATTCCCACTCAACGGTAGGCGCCTGGACACCACGTGACCACGTTGGTTGCAGCCAACTGGCCAACCTGTGGCCTCAGGTAACCCCCGTGGCAAATACCCCATGTCCCAAGTTCACTCATCTCTTTGTCGACGGGTAACCGCTAAATTAAGCTAGAAAATACATAAAAGCGTGTCACCATCGATTGCAATATTATTCTGTTCGCGTTCCTGTATCATGCTCCAACAGCTGTTGGGCGCTATCACGTAACTGTAAATGTAGATAGATTTGCATTCGTGGAGACGCTTTTTGTATTTGTACGCGGGGAAATTCTCATGGAGGACCTGTGAGCCCAAGTATGGGAGGGCCTGCAGGTAGTGTGGGACTCTTAGAGGCTAAAACCCCACGTTGACCAACCTGAGGCACCTGGCGAGGGACCAGGAACTCTAGTGAGTCGTCACAGAGTCCCCCGCCAGGTCTTTTCAGGCCCCCCCACCTGAGAGACACTCCTCCCATTGCATTCCCACTCAACGGTAGGCGCCTGGACACCACGTGACCACGTTGGTTGCAGCCAACTGGCCAACCTGTGGCCTCTGGTAACCCCCGTGGCAAATACCCCATGTCCCAAGTTCACTCATCTCTTTGTCGACGGGTAACCGCTAAATTGAGCTAGAAAATACATAAAAAGCGTGTCACCATCGATTGCAATATTATTCTGTTCGCGTTCCTGTATCATGCTCCAACAGCTGTTGGGCGCTATCACGTAACTGTAAATGTAGATAGATTTGCATTCGTGGAGACGCTTTTTGTATTTGTACGCGGGGAAATCCTCATGGAGGACCTGTGAGCCCAAGTATGGGAGGGCCTGCAGGTAGTGTGGGACTCTTAGAGGCTAAAACCCCACGGTGACCAACCTGAGGCACCTGGCGAGGGGCCAGGAACTCTAGTGAGTCGTCACAGAGTCCCCCGCCAGGTCTTTTCAGGCCCCCCACCTGAGAGACACTCCTCCCATTGCATTCCCACTCAACGGTAGGCGCCTGGACACCACGTGACCACGTTGGTTGCAGCCAACTGGCCAACCTGTGGCCTCAGGTAACCCCCGTGGCAAATACCCCATGTCCCAAGTTCACTCATCTCTTTGTCGACGGGTAACCGCTAAATTAAGCTAGAAAATACATAAAAAGCGTGTCACCATCGATTGCAATATTATTCTGTTCGCGTTCCTGTATCATGCTCCAACAGCTGTTGGGCGCTATCACGTAACTGTAAATGTAGATAGATTTGCATTCGTGGAGACGCTTTTTGTATTTGTACGCGGGGAAATTCTCATGGAGGACCTGTGAGCCCAAGTATGGGAGGGCCTGCAGGTAGTGTGGGACTCTTAGAGGCTAAAACCCCACGTTGACCAACCTGAGGCACCTGGCGAGGGACCAGGAACTCTAGTGAGTCGTCACAGAGTCCCCCGCCAGGTCTTTTCAGGCCCCCCACCTGAGAGACACTCCTCCCATTGCATTCCCACTCAACGGTAGGCGCCTGGACACCACGTGACCACGTTGGTTGCAGCCAACTGGCCAACCTGTGGCCTCAGGTAACCCCCGTGGCAAATACCCCATGTCCCAAGTTCACTCATCTCTTTGTCGACGGGTAACCGCTAAATTAAGCTAGAAAATACATAAAAAGCGTGTCACCATCGATTGCAATATTATTCTGTTCGCGTTCCTGTATCATGCTCCAACATCTGTTGGGCGCTATCACGTAACTGTAAATGTAGATAGATTTGCATTCGTGGAGACGCTTTTTGTATTTGTACGCGGGGAAATCCTCATGGAGGACCTGTGAGCCCAAGTATGGGAGGGCCTGCAGGTAGTGTGGGACTCTTAGAGGCTAAAACCCCACGGTGACCAACCTGAGGCACCTGGCGAGGGACCAGGAACTCTAGTGAGTCGTCACAGAGTCCTCCACCAGGTCTTTTCAGGCCCCCCACCTGAGAGACACTCCTCCCATTGCATTCCCACTCAACGGTTGGCGCCTGGTCACCACGTGACCACGTTGGTTGCAGCCAACTGGCCAACCTGTGGCCTCAGGTAACCCCCGTGGCAAATACCCCATGTCCCAAGTTCACTCATCTCTTTGTCGACGGGTAACCGCTAAATTAAGCTAGAAAATACATAAAAAGCGTGTCACCATCGATTGCAATATTATTCTGTTCGCGTTCCTGTATCATGCTCCAACATCTGTTGGGCGCTATCACGTAACTGTAAATGTAGATAGATTTGCATTCGTGGAGACGCTTTTTGTATTTGTACGTGGGGAAATCCTCATGGAGGACCTGTGAGCCCAAGTATGGGAGGGCCTGCAGGTAGTGTGGGACTCTTAGAGGCTAAAACCCCACGGTGACCAACCTGAGGCACCTGGCGAGGGGCCAGGAACTCTAGTGAGTCGTCACAGAGTCCCCCGCCAGGTCTTTTCAGGCCCCCCCACCTGAGAGACACTCCTCCCATTGCATTCCCACTCAACGGTAGGCGCCTGGACACCACGTGACCACGTTGGTTGCAGCCAACTGGCCAACCTGTGGCCTCAGGTAACCCCCGTGGCAAATACCCCATGTCCCAAGTTCACTCACACTCACATATGCAAT